CTATAATAGAGGGAGTTATATAGATATAGAGGAGTTAGGGATCTAAAGTAGTTGTGGTGGAGTCAGGTACCGTTAAACGCAATAATTAATATTATATTGATATAAAGAGATTGGTTATATTTAAATGAAATTTTAAAAAATCAGGATTCCAGATCCGACCTGGAATGTTATTAATTTGCTCACGAAGTCACCCTGATTCCAAAATGGTATGATATGTTGGGCTACTACTGCTAGGAGTAAAGATGAAAAAGTGTGACACACTGACATTCGCATTTATCTTATATATATATATATATATATATATATATATGAAAATTTCTCCGATTTAACAAGTAGAGAAGACAATATTTATGAATAAAAATGACAATCGGAAAACTGGTAATTGCTGACGCGTAAAGAAAATAACTCACTCAGAAGGAAAATTCTTGAGAGTGCCGCCATAGAAAATTACCCAAATATTAATCTACGCCCAGGCTTTTTCCCTATTTCACCTTTCTTAACAAAATTAATGCTCTTACAAACAAATATGCACAACAGATTCATAAAATCAAAAGAAAATGGTTGAATACATCAACACAGGTATAATGACAATATTCTCCACACGTGACAATCACTGACGTTATTTTTCAGTTAAAAAATATGAAAATAGCGTTTCTCTACATTCCAGTTGCTAGGTACATTCTGTTTTTGTTTTTATTAGTTACTTTGTTCATTTAATTTCATTTTCGTATTTTGCTTTGATAAAGTCCACATTGGACGAAACGCGTCAGCAATTACCAGTTTCCCTATTGTCATTTTTCTTCATATATATATATATATATATATGGACTCATCGACATATAAGGGTAAAGCAGTTCAGTTCTCAAAACCAACAGTAAGTCAACACGCATATATCATTTGATATGCAGAACCAACCACACTTTTTTGGAAGACCCGAATACAGAGAATTGGTGCAGAGTATGACACAATGTCCCCACCTCAAAAGATCCTTGGAAGGTTTTGATTTCAGATTTGTCCTTCTCCGAGACCGTTCGCCACCCAAGTCTACAGGACACAGTCTATATTGCCATTTACCCTTAGCAGTGGGGTAGAGAATAGCACGTAGGTGAATGTAATGAATTTGACTGGAGTTGGAACTCGGCTCTTCATATCCTCAGTCCGCGATGCTACTAGCTCTTCTGTCTCTCTCTCTATATATATATAGTTTTTATTTGATTTGATTTGATTTTTGTTTTTCTATGTTTTTTCTTTTTCGTTCTGTCTTTTCTCCTCTTCATCTCTCGCTGTTTTCTTAGCACCTTACTGCTTTTCAAAAAACATAACAGAAGTGCTCTAGATCGGCCACGGATACTACATTCTGATCCGACATACGAGCAAGCTGATTACCATATCGATTAGTAAAAAAATAAGAAAACAATGACGTAACAGACCGTCTAACAATTATCGTATATATTATTTCTAACATCAATTGTATTAGGAAATAATCTTTGTACCTACATTTAAAGCGACCCTCTTTGTCAATCGTTGCACTAAATAACCTCTCCCCCTCTCTCTCCCCATCTCCTCTCTCCACTCTCTCACCCTCCCTCGTTCTCTCTTAATATCTCTTTTCTTGACTTGCGGCAAGAACTACCAGTTATAACAGAAAAACTGTCCAAATCGTGTAACAGCAAAATTGTCCAATTGTTGGAGTAAGCTTTGGACCGTTGTATCTTAGAAAGGATTAAAGATATCTTACTGGAGTTTTCCGAGGTTTTTATAACACTGTTGAACTCTACTTTGGATAATAAGAATGTATAATTACTCTCCAAGCTTTTTTTTTTTTTAAGCGTTTCACCCCAAGCAAGGCGGGAAGCCACTAGGACGCAAGGGGTTACAGAAAATTTGGAGAAAGATCAGATAGGAGTGATAGAGGAAAGGATGAGGAGAAGGGTAGTGGATAGATCAAGGCAACTGGAGATGTTGATTGACATTACATTTGAATAGTTGGGGATTATAGCTCTCAGGGAAACTGGAATACGGAAGGGAGTTCCACAGGCGAGAGATGAAGCTATTGGAGAGAGAGACGGCTACATTTAGGGAGTTTCGACAGTGAAAGGGTGAGAGCGGGATGACAGCCTCGTAGGGCTCTTTGAACTCATGAAGTCTAAAACCAGCGAAGGAAGCTCCTCGGAGCAATTGCCATGAAAGTATTTGTAAAACAGACAGAGAGAGGCAACAGTGCATCTGTGAGAAAGTGACTGTAGACGAGATGCCAGAGCAGGGCCAATTATATTGCATATCCGCCTCTGGAGCTTATTAAGAACCCCGAGGCAAACAGAAGGGACTCAGACCATATATGTCAGCAGAGGTTAACAGAAGAAACGTGATGAAATTGATCATAAACGAAAATTACATGTTCATCACTAATTAATCATAGCTAAGAATCGAAAGCTCACAAAAGATTGAAATAAAGATTATATATATATATATATATATATATATATATATATATATATATATGGGTTTCGATTGAGTTTGATCTTTTCTAATTGATCGCTTTAGCTCTAAGTTGAGATGATAATCCCTCTTCCTTTTGGGACCTCCTGATCCAATTTTCCTCTCTACTGTCCCCACTTTTCAAACTTATTCAACGTTCTCTTGATGGTTCTTGAATGGACTTTGAAGATGGAAACCAGAGTATGAATGTTGGTAGCATTACTAAAAGCCTGAATGATCTTTTTTCCTCTCACCATTGCTCAGTTGGGAAGATAGTGGTTCTGGCACAAAACAATTTTAACCTATTCTCTTTCTAGCTGAACAGCTCAAAGAGCTTTTCAGTGATTCTTACGGCAAATGGTGCCAAGATGGCTAAACGTCTTATCGGAAAACCTGGAAAAAAGAAAGTCATTTAGTTTAGTGTTTTTTTTGCGGGGGGGTTCTAGATATTAAACATTTTGTGGGGTGTCCAATTATGCTGTTACACGATTTGAACAATTTTCCTGTTACACACAGTATATGGAATATATCTCTGAAAATAAAAATGACTGTATCGCCTTTAAGATGTCCTTTTCATATAGACGAGCGACATAGGAGCCGACATACATGCCATTCTGAAAAAGGTTCGTGTGGCATTTTGCCTTGGATGCACTTTTAGCGAACAAACACTTTTCATTATATAAACTCGTTCCATTATGGCTAATGTTCGTAAGATTTTCGCCATCTGCACAAGAGAGTACAGACATTTTTTTTAATTCAGCTGCATATTGCATCATGTTTTCTTCATCATTTCACCCCAAGCAAGGCAATAAATCCACAAAGACGGAAGGATTACCGAGTGTGAGTGAATATGAGAAAAAGAAAACCCTATTAAGGAGAGAGAACAATAAAAGAAGAAAAATTAAGAAGACAGAAGGTAACGACTGACATTGCATTTGAACTTTTTAAGATCAAAGTTAACTGAGAAGCAAGAATCCAGGAGTGAGGAGTGCGCGAGAAGAAACTGTGAATAATAATCGAATAGCAGAAATAGTCTAGAGTGAAACGTTCAGATCCATATTCAACTAATAATTATGTCAAGTTACCTCGTTGTGATGTTAGTTAACTGATCAATTATGATTGAATAGTAAGTTCAATCCCCAAGACTTGCTATTTTTCTTTAAAAAAAAAACACTATTTGACAGAACAATAAAAGGACAGTAATTAAAAACACAGAAGATAACGAATGACTCTGTATGTAAAGCAAGAAGCCGAAAAAGAGTTCCACAGGCGAGAAGTGTAATAGAAGAAACTGTTAGCATAGTACTTACGGTTACATCTGTGACGGGTCTACACCTGGCCCAGGGTCGAATCCTTTGGTTACGGCGCCAGCTGTGACGTCGCTCCTCCTGGTCGCTCCTCCTGGTTCCAAGCGTGCCGCTCCAACCCTTTGGTTAGATGATCACCAGCCTCGCCTTTCCCAACTCGCTTCCAATACCTGGTTACTGAAGCAACTGTACTGATCTCCGATCTGTCTACCCACGTTGTGTTTAGATCTTAGACAGACAGGACCAGCAGGGATTGGGGCCGATACAAGTTGAGTCCGACGGGGGTGGCAAAACACAAGTAAAAGAAAAAAAAACTCACGAGACAAAAAATTACTGATAAAAAAAAAGGATGACAACCTTTTATATCTAATGTCCGTTACACAAAGAAAAATTGTTCTTATTTCCCGACCCGCTCTGTGGACTATGGCACCAAGCTTCTATCATACAACTTAAAGATTTCGAATTGCCTACTCTTTAGAATTATGTATGTCGGAGTATGGTCTAGTTCGACACTGGGGTTAATTTCTGTCAATCATTCGCAGTTGATTCTTCTCTTCGACTTGAGTTGTATTTCTTCACTTCAATTTGTTTTGTTCGAATTCTGATCTCGGGCTTGGCTTGATTTCAACTTCTTCTTCTTCCGTCCAGCAACTCTTTTCTGTCGACTGAGGTGGAACTGATTTGCTTGTTTGGTCTGCAACTTTACTTCTTGTCTGGCCTGCAACTCTTCGGCCAGTCTTTGACTCGGCTGCAACTTCTCTGCTGCTTTCGAGTAATCTTCTTCTTCGTCGACTTAGATGGAACTTCTCTTGTCTTCGACTTGGGTGGAAGGATTTCTTGCCGCAACTCAGCCGCAACTCTCTGTCGTCCGAGGTGATCTCTTCTCGCTGCCGTCCGGGGCTGAACTCTGCCGTAACTCTGCCGTAACTCTGCCACAACTCTTGGCGTCCTTCGAGCAATCTCCTTCGTCTGCTTGGCTGGAAGTTCTCTTGTCTCTTCGACTTGGGTGGAAGGATTTCTTGTCTGAGGATTCTCTTGCCCGCAAAGGGGCGAGTGAATCGGGCCTGATGCCCGCGTTCAGGCTCTATCCCCTGCCCGCGGTCCAGCTGCAACTCATTTCGTCGACTGGGGTCCTGCTTTTATTGACGCCGCAACAAAACGGGGTGGGTTTGTCGGCGTCAGGGGTTCTCGATAATTCAATAGCCGCATTATTTC